TAAATACCTATTTATCTCAATTATAAGCATGGGATAATTATAGTACCTATACCTATAAGTACTATAATTATCCCATGCTTATATTCTTATTGACATATCAAATTTAATTAATAGATATTTGGTAAAAGTACATATAGGTATAATGAGAGTCGTTATTATTACGTTGGAATGCGGATGTAACATATTGATCGCGTTTTGTTTCTCTTTCTCCCTCTTCTTCGAGTAGTCTGTGTTGCCCAACAGGAAAATGTAGTAGACACACATAAATGTATTATACTATTAACGTACAATAGACAGTTGATGCTTATACTTGTCGGACGATTTCTTCCAGACAACGACAGATTGTGCTTACAACAAAACCCACAGACATAATAACAAATTTCAAAAAAGAAAGAAGAAGTTGTAGGTTGCAGCAGCGTAAATGTCAATAACAGCATTCCATAATGTTATTTTCTGGTTGCAATGAAAAAAAAAAAAATAATACAGAACTTAGGGAGAATAGAAGGTACAAACATATTTTATATGTCAGTGGACTGACTTTACTGAGCTAGACGTTACCCGAATAAGACTGTTTGTCCTACTCTACAGATTTAGATTTCTAGTCCAACAAATCCAATCATTATCTTGGTGTATTTTCTTAAGAAAACCTCAGAATTTACGAAAGTTTCATAAAGATAAGAAGATGCAATAAAAGTTTTAATTATTAATCAAATAATAAAAGCTTTTCTTGGCGTAATAAATGAAGTGAATAATAAATAATATTCCCTAAGTAAGGGTACTAAACAGAAATGAAGAGATCAAATAAAACTTGGAGGTGTACGACAACTGCCGATATTTATTTTCATTCAAAGGATTTCTGTAAAAGCGTAAATCCTTTTCGGAACAGGTACTATGATATTGCAAAAGGAAACGTTAACTTAAGAAAAAAAAAGTCGAAATATACACGTTTATTAATTAAGAGAGCAAAAATTTTTCAAAAAGCGGTTGTGCTCGTTAAAATTAGTCTATGCCGCTTAATGGGGTATTATTTCGTCAGCGGAGCCACACCGACTCTTGAGTAAATGAGTGTCTATGGAACTGTTTACATTCCGCGCCCTTTTGAAGTGCTCGTTACTGCAACTAGGGCTGCTGTCACTAATAAAAGTCTAAAAGTCTTTCAATAAACACATTCTTTCTTACTATTCAATCTGTCTGTGAGATATCGTTGCTTGTTTTCGTTTGGAAAGCATATTGATGTCACTTAATATGATATAAACATGAATTAAATATGTATTGTTGCTTCGCTGGAAGTCTCAATCTCAATATCTTCAAAAAACCTCCAAAATTTTCCATGACCACATAAATCAGGGCAAATTTGACCAAGGGAATATGTTGGGGCATTTACATTTGCTGACAGGACATTTTTTATCGTAGAGGAATGCTTTATGCATTGTCCCCGTCGCTTGACAGGCGGCAGGGGCGTGTGGTACTCTCCGAAGGCTAGTCAAAACGCGGATGGCATACCCTCCAAACGCCCTCCGTGCATCCTCTCTTTTGGAGGAAAGGCTTAGAATCCAGCAGGGAGATCTACACATTAATGATTACATGCTGAGATTTCAGCACTCAGTCATATGCGCCATTAGAAAACAAACACTAAATCAAGATAACGGTATTACAAAACCATTTTGTTCACATTTCTGTTTTGTTAATATCTATCTACAGAAAGAACGCTTCAGCACACGTTCTTCAGATAGGTATGTTTCAGATAGATAGGCAAAGGGTGTTCTGGCCTCTTCGGGTGTTGACATCGTTATTTCAGTTCCATCATTTTTTAAACAATATTTGTACATTTCCGAACTAATGGAGCATGGCCCCTTGAGAGTTAATTAATTTTTTATGCCAAATGAACACGAACACAAGTATAGAACTTAAAAAATGAGTTAAATACACAACCCTAATAAGAGGTAAGTTCATTGAAATATGTCGAGGGTTCCTCGCGAGACACGAATGAAATGGATGTTTATGTGTGCTTGGGAGTATTAAGTGGTTCCTATTGGTGTTCACTATGAATAGATAGACGCCTGGATTATGTGCAATTATTAATAATGTATCAAGACTGTCAATAGCTCCTAAAAATGGATAAACAATTTAACAACCTTGACATTCAACAGTTAATATTATATTTGATCAATTTAGCAATCACAATGCTATACTCGAAAGTATAACATAACATATATATGAAAAATGCTTTAAATCCACCAGCCCCAATGCTTGAAAAATGTATCAGTCCTGTCAGCTTCTGGGTAGCTCAGTAGTAAGAGCAGTCGCTCGGATTGCGAAAGGTCCTGGGTTCGAGTTCCAAAAATCCTAAAGATTTCTTAAACATTTTTTTATTAAGAATATTCCACAGTGGATCATATATATAGTATTGGGCTGTTTATATTAACGCCATCTTATTTATTGGAACCGAACCGCGCGTATTGATTCCCGTTTTAATGAATTTTATAAATAAATAGTTCACGCATAGCAAAATCACAGGAAAATAAGACTCAAAACAATGCAATTGTTGCTGCAATTTGTTGCTAAATAAGAGTGTAATGAAATGAAATGAAATGAAGCATGTGAGATTGTGAGTATAAACTTTCATAATTGTATTTTTTTTATTTTCTCCATAAATAACCGCTTCATCATTGTAAAATAATAAGTTTTTCAGAAACTATTTATTGTGTTTACTAATTGTTGTGTTAATCGACTTTAAATTCATAAAACAAGTTTTGTAATATTACAACATCAGTCTATTCGTAAAGTTTGGAACATTGGTGGTACATACTCAAGATAACGAAGTAATTCTCCTACTTTTGATAAGAATAAAAGATTTTTTTGGGATTACAATTCCAAAGTCCACTCAGATGATATCGGCGTTGGGAACGATAGGACCACAAGCAAGTTTACAGTTCATCTTAAATTAAGCTTTATTATATTTTAACATATGTAAGTTACCTATTGAAAGCTCAACGCTTCGTTTTACATATTATACTTGTTCAGACATTTATAATTTTATTCTTAATATATATAGTTTAAATAAATAAATATTATAATATTAAAAAACGATAAATGATACATTTTAAATGGCATTTTGGTAATATTCTCTAATTACATTTTTAAATAAAATCTTGCCTTCTTAATAGTAAATTAACATTATTATTATTAATGAAAAGAGGCGACTGCTCTTTTGGATAGCGAAAGGTCATGGGTTTGAGTCCCATATCAGAGTGTCAGGAACAAAATGGATTTTTTAAACATTTTTCATTAAAAATATTTTTTTTCAGTATAGAATTGTTGATACATTATTGTTTGATTTATGTTTTTGTAGTGTTGTCATTAGTTATTACAATGAAGTAAATTAATAAATATAAATAAGAAGAAATGTACACTATCATACAATTGCCCTCCCATATATGTAGTTCTATAAGAATAAAGTTAATCGTATTGTTTCATTAAAATAACTATAACTATGATAACAGTTGTGTGTCATCATCATCAGCCCTGTTACGTCCCAACTGCAGGGGTTCAGGTCTTCCTTATGGATGGTTAAGGAGGATGGGCCATGATCCTCCACGCTGGCCCAATGCGGATTGGAGGGTATTAACGACTGTAAATGCAGCCGGGACCAACGGCTTAACGTGCCTTCCGAAGCACGAAGTAGCTCGAGATAATAATTTTTTGGTCACTCATCACGTGACCGACCCTTGTGAAAGTTGCTTAACGACAACGATCGCGGGTCGCGGCTCTTATCCACTACGCCACCGAGCTGCTTCACAGTTGTGTGTACATGTCTATAATTTTTTTAAAGTCTAAATAAGATAACAGTATACTCGATTTACAGGATAGTTTCTAGATCACCCACAATCATCTTATTATGGTCCTTCAAATCTGTCTATTCACCATTCATCCGTGAATTTTTCCATAAGTTTGACCGCTGCCAAAAACTATAGTAACATTAAGAAAACTCGGTTTCCTCTTATTGCATCCATTAGACGCATAGAACTACCGTTAATCCGGCCCTTGACCAAAACAAAACCAATTATACTCCCGATAAATCACCCAACGTGTCTTCTGGTCAGGGCGCTCAGCTTAGCTATTGGAAAACTTGTGCGTTACAAATGCGACCTAATATTTAGAGTATCAAGATTCACAATAGCTTGGAACACAGGATATATTTTTTCAAGAGCTATAATGGGCGTATAGTGACTTGTTACATCATGATTTTGTGTTAAAACCTTTTTAAGTATAATGGCACACGCTATGAGTTTGAGATAAAATCTAAATGGAGTAGCTTTGGAGGTTTATCTTTATTAAGATCGGGTATAAAAAATAATTGGTTGACCATTTTAAAATATTTTCGAAATTACAGCTACAAAAATGAAAGCACCAATGCAGTTCCAAATGTAATTATAATTACGATCGTTGCTTACTCAAGACAACAGGCAGTTTTTCAAGACAGTTTTTTTTTTTAAATAATGATCTGACCGTAAGCATGAATACTTTTTTCTAGTCAACTTGATTAATAAAATATCCAAGTCGCAAGTTTCATGAAATAGTCTTTTAGACATGTGCTTTAAATTTTAGTGGATCTTTTAAAATGTTCCATTATTGATTAATTTTTAATTTTAACTTAAGGCTGAAATATATCGGACAGGTCTCATAATTTGTTTATCTTGTCCCCCTAATTTAATTTTGGTATGATATTTCTTTTACACTTCTCTCTTGCTACTTAGACGGGTTTCTGCAAATATTTTTTCCCGAAATTTTCATAAATACATATCACATGTATATGCTATTGTTATATATGCTATAACATGCCTAATTATACTTTCTATGTTGTCTTTTACTATGCTTGCAAATGTTCACCTTTGCTTAAGAGTAAAAACAAGACTGTAATGTTATTCCACTCTGCCTGTAATTATGCCGGCGTTCCTCATTCTTCAAGGGCTCGGTATTGCTACTCTACCGCAGGAAAAATGAGAGGGTATATACTGCCTGTTAGACGTAAAAGGTCCGGTGAAAAACTAGGGAAATTTGTTATTAGCAAGCAAGACAGATTCACTTTTCTAAGACCATTATGTTATATGTGGTAATCATAAGAATGTTTGGTTCTAAAAAATCAAATTGACATGAATCTTGCACAAATATCACTTGAGAACATAAAAATTGGACATGGTGCTCGAAAACTTCATCAGATATATTTTTGGTATTATAAGTAATTATATTTCTTCTCTCGTTTAATATTTTAAGCAATTCAAGATTCTGTTGTGCTCGCAAAATGTAGTGATCGGTTACCGTGACACCGGAGGCGGACGTGTGTTGTTAGATTAACTCCAGTGACAAACGTCCCCAGCCGAGGAGCTACGCTGTCAGACATATTGTCTAACCTAGATTAATATGTGGCTGGTCGTGGTAGGACTCCATATATCGACTACTAAGCTGAGGCTTTCGATTAAAGATGGCTCTATTGCCTGTATTAACCTTAAAATGTAAAGAGGGAACATTAGAAGTAACAGTGCAATCTCAATTAGTAATTAAATTCCTAACGTTTACTAGTCATCAGAATATTAAAGATCCACGACTGGAAGATAGATAATTGTCATAGGACATAGATAAAAATATATTTACCGTGAGGAGTAGTATGTACTATTGATTGCATGTATCAGAGACTAATGGTTTTAAAATCTTTTCCGAAGCTTGAAATTTTGTCTTGTTAATATATTTGTTTATATTTATAATAGATTACTGCAAATGTTTACAAATTTGAATACTTTGCCATCAAGTTTCAAATATATAATAATAACTAAAAAAAAATCAACATAAATTAGGTTTTATAACTTACTTTCAAGTAATTGGAATGCCAACAAGTCTACTATCAGCTATAGTTATTCAATCTGTTACATAACGTTCTGTTTATTAATAATTGCTCAAAAGCAATTTGTGAAGAAAGTGCAATTTAGTTTTTAAACAAGAATAACGGACTAGGAAAGCTTACATATGTTCTTATGACGTCACATCTTTATAAGCTGTGTTTTACAGTCCAAAACCATATAAAAATTATGGGGTCTTATATTTGACTGGTTTGAATCCATGCCATGATAATAATATAAATACTTTAATAATAGATGTGTCGCTTTTATGATATAAAAACCAGAATTTCCATGAAAAACACTTGTGTATAGTGCTAAGGATGTAAAGCAAAGATGCTTGATGTCTATTTTTACAGGAACTATCGGTATCTGGAAAGGTAAAAGGAAAATCAACAATATAACGGACGTAGTCTACAGCCGTCAAAGAAGAATATCTTGACATTTTCCTTTTAGATATTTTCATTGGGTTGAAAATTACGTCGCACTAGATGAATATCATAACTTTCTTTGTTATCTCTTCAACAAATTATTTCTACATAAAAATGGTATTTATATTGAAGGTAATGAAATTCATTAGATATCCAATATTTAATAGGTCAAAGGTGACAAATGTTTTTGCGTATCTAACATTTTGCGTAAACTTATAAAAATAAGATAATTAATTTGAGAGCCTATAATATTATGCAGCATAACCTTCTCAAAGCATTAAGAAACTTGGCAAGATATTTTCTTTCCATTACAAGATCTAGTCTGTTTACAAAATTATGATAATAATGTCTTGGGAAATGTCCTCAGCGCAAACAAGTATTTATAATAAATACTACCCTAGATAAAACCTTTTCTTATGCAAAATTGTAAATAATGGAATGCGGCGGTTATTTATGTAGTCTCTGATTTAAAGAAGTTGGATTATAGAGAATTGTATTTTTTGTTGACCTTATAAATTTCTGGCTTAGCAAGTAATTGTTTTGGTCTCTGGTTTAAACCAGGACTGTACAGGTATGCTAATAAATATATAAGTAAGGTGTTGTATGTTGCTAAAGTGATTAAATATATTCTTGCATTTCTCACTCAGTAGAAATTCAACGCTCAATTTATACATCCACTATCCATATCCGTCTAAAAAGAAACTGAATAATGCGGAAATATATAAAAAAGCTGACATAAATGGTAATTTGTTCCTACATTTGAACACTAAGACACTATATGCTATTAAAAACATAACCACGATATGCACATCACCGAAACGGATATTTCAGCTAAAAGACCTGACTCAGTTTACAATTATTCTGTAAGTTATTGATAAAAAATTACCTATATAGCAAATATAGCTATTATTACCTTATATTTATCATCGGAAAAATATTGATTAGGTTCAGTCTACGAAGTAGGTCTAATGTTTTCTCGAAGCAGAAACTAAACTATGTAGGGCACACATGCCCCTGTTTCTGCAAAGTCGCAGATGAGTTTTGCCCACCGGCGTGGTGAATATGCCATTACTAACTGTTATTTTTTTCAACGTCAAAAATTAATTGAATTCATATGAAGATCATTAGGTTTTCTTTTATTTGTTTACCTTCGTGCCCCACGGAAGTGAAGGTCTTGAATCATAAAACCCCATTGACGGTTCAAATAGTCCACGGCGGCACAAGAAACTTGCACTCTTTTAATCTAATGGAGTGGATAAATATTTGTACAATCTGACGTGCTGTTTGCTATACTTATGAATCGTCCAACATTTACAATGACTATATCATTAAGAGGTCAATAATAGCAGCTCCTTTAATACGAGTATATAACAACCTCTTTTACGTTGCTACAAATAGCCCAAGCACTAATTTGTCTTTTGTGTCCAATCACTAGTTGACCCAACAACGGCCTAGCATTAATTCCTATCAGTGATGAATGTTCTTTGTTTTGTAAAAAAATTAATAGTAAAATTTTGTTTCAGATACGATAGCATTGCGGGATGTCCAGCTCATAGCCCCATCAGCTGTTAGATTAGGGGACACAGTACAGTTGGGTTGTAAATGGGCTTTGGAGGGCAACGAGACTTTGTATAGCGTCAAATGGTACAGAGGCAGGCAGGAGTTCTTCAGCTACCTGCCCAAAGAGTACCCTTTCACCAGAATCTTCGCTCAGCCTGGCATCGATGTCGATGTAAGTTTATTTAGATATCATCAGTGTTATTTTCACCAGCTTATAAATGTCACTGTTGTTAGGGTTTTTCATGTATATGAGATTGAGTCATAGCATGGTATTGTAAAACCTTGATTTTGAATATTCGAGATGTGTGTGCTAATATGTAACAGAAAGGTTACTGATAGTTTGTTCAAAATTAATCTGTTTCTATTCGATTTTTTTCTTCTTGAAACTATTGATGATGTGCTTGAAAGGTTCGATATAAGTTAAAATTCTCAATAAAAGTACATAAACTTTGGTACAATCAAATAAGGTTTTTAAGGTACAAATAGAGGATTTTTGGGGTGTGTGGAAATTTTTATGTACGAAAAGACTATTGATATATTAATATTGCCACTAGTGGACACCTGAAACAAGAATTGTGTAACTCACTCGCGCAAGGAGATCGTTATTGAAATGAGAGTTTAAATAAGATTTATCATAGGCCGCTATTAAAAGCAAACGATTAAAACTTTTAAAAGCGCAAATTAAATGTCATAAACAATTTCAGAAGTAACAATTCACGAACTATAAGATGCTTTCAAGAATATTAAAGATAAAGTTCCTTTCATTTTTATGAATGTCCAATTCAACTTAAGCGCTGATCCGAACATCTAGATTATTCGCTGCAACAACTGCGCCCGCGTTCACTGAAGCGGCATAATTTTGAAAAATTATTATCCCGTTTGTTCAGCATTCAACTCCCCCCCTTCCCTTCCACCGTCGGTTCGAACTAGACTATTAAAAGTTCACCCAAGCCGACCAGAGTGTTCTGTGCGCGACACGATAGCGCAAAAAAGGCATAAACTGTCTTTGTTCACTCGGCCTTACATTTTAATTTAAGCGGAAAATGTTCAATGTTCTCAACTGTTTTGTGGAGGTTAATTATACGAAGCAATTTTCTTAAGTTTGTTAATCGTCTTAAAATATACACGAGATTTTTATATTTTGAATAACATTGAAAAATTAATATAAAAAATATTTTAAAGATGCTACACTATTGTGTAACTACTTATATGTCTTTATACGAACACGTTTTAAGTTTTATATGGTCTATATTTTGTTTCTTTGAAGCTAGATCGTATTTATTTTATTAAAAAACAATACTTCTGAACTTTATATAAATTTAAGTAGAAATATCAAATCAATTGCTATTGCAAACTCGATGGCTGCCTTAATTATATATGTAATACGTTTCAGAAATTGCATTTTAAAGTAACCTCATACATTTTTTAGTATAGGTCAACAATATTCTGAACGATAGCAATAACGTAAGATTTTCTGTAAAAGTTAGCTCATGTTATTAAACATCTTGGATAAGAATAGATATTTTATGCGACAATTGATTCTCCCTTTTAAGTCGTTCTTCGTCTATAGTGTCTTCGGACATTGTTTATTTCTGCTAATACGATAGTTGGTCGGTGTTCTTCTAATAGTTCGAATTACCGCATAGATAAAAACGCAATGTAATAACAATTTTTAGCATTCAGCCTAACAACAGAATCTATTCATATTTTGATCTCGTTTTACGGTACACAGTAAACAAGATTTTATATCGTCGTTAACGTACTTTTCATGTTTTTATTGTCAACCATTGTTAGGAAGATTCTCTTTACGATCTCCACTAAAACCTTCGTCTTTCATATAAATAAGTAACTGCCGTATATTTTTATTGGGAGGTGCGTTTTACTAGTTACGCTCAAGTGACCTTATGTCCTCTTAGAGTATGTCGTGCGAGTTTTTAGACCGTACTTAACGCTCGAATAACTTTTGTTGTCACTATTAAAATATATCTACTTGATTACTAGGATGATTAGCAACTAAATTTAGTACTGTAATAATCTAATTGAATCAGGCGTCACCTTGCGGAAGTCCATTGCGATAACTGCAAGACATTATTAGCAACTCATACCGTTAGACTAGCAAGTACTGTCTGATAATGGAAGTTGCTGAATGTAATATAATTACTGGTATTAATAAACTATATTCGTATAATGACAAAGTAGTAAAACTTCCATCGCACGCAATGTCCAAACAGTAATATGTCAATGCGTACATTTTCCAAAGAGCAAAACACTCAATGCGTACAATATTTATTCAGTGGTGGTTGTGCTCTTTATTTTAGTCGGTGCTGTCACTGTTGGCCTCAACAGAATTCAACGGTGGGCTTTATTCGCTGCTTATACGGAGTTGGAGACGACTTGGCAACACGCAACATTTCAAAAGTTTCATTGCTATAGGTTTATTTTTTAATTTATATTGTATTTAAATTTTGTGCAAGTGATGTTCAAATTCTTAAGTAGTGAAATATCTATGAAATTGAAAGTTTAAAAAGCTAGGTCTGGGTTTATCAGAAAATCTAATGACTATTCCCCCTATACAGGAAATTGCAAATTATTTAAATGTGTTAAAAAACACATACTAAAACACATACAAAAACAAAAACACATACTAAAACTTGATGGTGAATACAAAAAAAATATAATATGTCATACAATGAGGATTATCTTATCTTTTTTAGATAAAAATAAAACAAAAATAAATATTAGACAATATCACAAACTGGAACAACGAAGTTACAAAAATAGGTATCCTGACATGACACAATTAATTAATTTCCTATTTTGACCTCGCCGGGAATTGATCCTGGGACAGAGAGGGCGATAATTTGATTCCAATGAGCAAGCCTCTCGTTCACGTAAGTCATCTATTTCAGATGAGAATATTTTCTTGTTACGTGATATTTTAGTAGTATTTATAGTTTTCGAGCTTATTTTTTTATTAAACGAGTTTTATTATACGATCGGTATTCCAGTATGACGATCTGCGTTAACGAGTACGCCCTTTTCCATCTCGGAGGTCCCGTATTCGCTTCCAGGTCGGGTTAATGCAGCAAATGAACTTTTCTCTATTGTCTCAGGTTTGGGTATAATAGGTACCTTTATTTATAACCCTTTATTACCCTCGTATTATGTTACTGTCAAGTTACACACTTGGAATCTGAGCATGTGGTCGTAAGGCTCTCTTGCATCCATCTCATTGTACCAATCCATTCCTATACAAATAAGCATTGAAAGTAAAGACGCGCTCTCTTGATATCGTACATCTTTAATCACAGAGGAAACAAATACAGTTAAAAATGATTTAATTATTACATCAAAACCAATTTTTGTATATATGTCGCAGGCAACTGTTTAAAACAGCCGTTCAATTAGGCAGCTAGCCTGAATTTGCAAGCCTAGTTTTATACTTGAGGTATTAAGACATTTGGACCCTTCAAAAAGACGGCAGATTTAAAGCCGTCAAAACCGCCGTATTGTAGAACATTGGGTTCAGCTATTCGGCTGATAAAAAATCAGCCCGTTACTGGAATAGTTGGCTGCGACTTATATATTTTTTTTAAAGTTAAGAAAAAGTATATAAGTTTTAAAATCGATCCAAAAAACCTATATAGAGTATTTTCGAGATTTTTATTTTATGGGGTTAATTATCGAAATTTGTTTTTGTTTATTGCAAATAATCGACTGTATGTTTAATTACTATAAAATGATTTCTATTTGGCAAAAATCAGTAGAGTAGAATGCTTAGAATAAAATTGTCCTAAAAGTGGTAATTTCGTAAAACCTCGCCTTAAATTTATTTATGTAATCCAAGCAGCGTACATAAGCAAGCTTGTGATTTACAATGAAATGTAATTTTAGAAATCTCATGCTATTCGCGTACCATTGGTATACGGAACACGTAAAACCTTTGAATTAAGTGAAATGGGCCTATCACAGTCGTTAAGTTTCGGGGCCCAGAATAAAACCGAGGTGTGTTTATGTCAATACGTAATGTGGTGAGGGTGTTGTGAGGAATAATCGGAGTAAATGCATGAGTAACATTTTACTGCAAATTCTAAAAGTAAAACGAAATACGTTATAAATGTATCTTATGGATAAATACTTTATATACAAGCGTTCTCATTTATATAGATATATGATTTCTTTTGCAAAGCTTATACATATTGTCATCATCATCTATGTATGTGTGTATATGTATATATATATATATATATATATATTTGGAATATTATATGTTGTAGTATAGTTATGATTAGTTAAGTATTATTTGTTGTGGTTTTATTTAAATTATTCATATACTCGTATTTTATTGCTCTGTACCGCCTTCGCGTTTGACAATTTTCACAAAGGTTGACTGGGAGAGAATACTATAAGCATTAAGTCCGCCATTTGCACCTTGTTTATATGAAATATGAAAGTTAATAGAAATATGAAAAATATGAAAGTTCAATAAATAAATAAATATGTGCAGACACATATTTAAAGTCTTATCAGTATTATTAATAATCAAGGTTTAGCGTTAGAGTAAATTTAAGCTGATATTTTTTTTTTTAATATTTATTTCCAAAAAAATCTTATTAAGCTGAGATTGCACTTTGTTTACTCATAATTCATATAATTTAACAGAAAATTAGCAAAGTTTAACGAGGTTCTACGTCAATAATATTTAGTAAAAAGCTGTTATTTTGATATTATAAACAAACACTCCCATTTTATTTATTAGTAAAGATTTATTTCATTGTCGGTGGATTCATCTCTTTGATTGTAACTCTGTTGCTGAAAAGGGGGCCTCAATTGAATCATTTTACTTATTATATTTGTTATTTACATAAATAAACAAATATATATATATATATATATATAAATATATAGTTTTTAATCTTTCACAGAATCAGATTTTCCCTTGCAGAAGTCTATTACTTTAAGTGTAAAAATGCAATATCTATAGTTTATTCTGAGGGCAGGAGATAAAACAGACAATGGCCCAAAGTATAATTTGACCGTCAAAGTCATCAAGTCATCATCATGAGCCCTTTTACGATCCCGGTTATGGAGGATGGGCCACGAGGCAGCCATGGTGTAGCCAGAACCAACGGCTTAAAGTGCTTTCTAGAGCACTGAGTAGCTCAAAATTATAATTTTTAGCCACCTATCCCATAGCCGACCCTTGCGAAAGTTGCTTACACATTAAGCCATTGGTTTTGGATCTCCAATCTGCACTAAGGCAGCGTGGAGGGTCATGACCCATCCTTCTTAACCATCCATAAGGAAGACCTCAGCCCTGCAGCGTAAAAGGGTTTTTAAGTTAATGATAAATTACATAAGTAGCAACGTGTTTAAAATCTTTTTGCTTTTTATTTTCGATGTTAGCTAAGTTGGAAAAATAAAAAAAAAGGTAATATGGTTGACCGTAACAAAAATAATATTAAATTTTGTGCATTGACTATACATTTTTCCTGTGTGTTGTTTATTTAGTATTTATATTATTTAAAGAAAAAATCGAGAAAGTATATTCTTTTTCGATACGTTCTAAGAATTAATTTAT